GATATCCAAACCCTTTGAAGAACCCCAAACTTCCCAGCCATAATCCAATATACTACAAACATTAGTATCAAATAGATGTCGTAAAGTTTTTTAAAATTAAGGCTTACGTGAGAACAGTTAGAAAGAAGAGCAAGGATAGCCTTACGATCTTGGTCAGCAAGCTGCTTCTTAATAAGTTTTTAAATTTATTATTGAATCTAAGTTTCACGGCTAAATAGCTGAAAGCGTCTCCAATTTCAATTTTTTATTTTTATTATTATATGTCCAGGTTTCACAGTCCTTAATACGACCTCCATTTCTGAAAACAACTATCTTCGGGGTTTTTCTGAGTTTAAGATATTTCATTTAGATAAATTCTATTTAGATAAATTTTATTTAGAGTTTTTTTTATAACATAATAACATAAGCTCTGAAGAGCTTTTGACCGACATATACATATACACATACAGATACATGATACATAAAATGCAATACATTAAGACATCAATTACTAATATCAAACACATATTTTCATATATTACTTTGATAATAGGTATTGTGTTTCACAACACTCAAAGTACATATACCATATATCAATAAATTGAATTAAATTAAATTAAATCAAAACAAGGCTTGACATTAAAAGTTTTCAATGCCACAATGTAGACACTGTAGGCTGGATAAAGAAAAGATGAGGTTAGAGTAAGGTGAGATATTTATTATTTGCAGGCTGCACATTTACATTTGGTTCCATTCCAAGAGGATACTAACGATTTAAAATGGCCTTAATTTGTTGTGGTCCTAAAGTTTTCAGGAAGATCATTCCAAAGACAGACTGCTGCATATTTGAAGGTTTTTATACCGTATGTAGTAGTCTTAACATGTTGGATGTCCAAAAATTTTGTATATCTGAAACTGTAATTTTGAGACTTGGGTGTGACAATGTTGTGGAGACATGGCGGTGTGGTTGTGTGTATGCTTTTGTAGGTTTCTATAGCCATTTGCCTCATTCTTCTAATTTTCAAAGTAGGTATCTTTACCAGGGCCAAAAGTTCATCGTAGCTGCTTGAGAAGTCATCATAAATAAATCTGAGTGCCCTATACTGAATTTTCTCTTCTTTTTTTAACATTTGTTTCCGAACAGAAGTGCCAGGAGAGTGGGCAAAGATTAAAGCGTGATAGTATGAAGGTGTGGAAAATTGTGAGTTTATTTAGTCTGTTCAGGTGTTTTCTAATTCTGTAGAGTACATTTAGTTGTTGTGAGGCTTTTCTACATATGGTTTTGATGTGGAGATCGAAAGAGAGCGTAAAGTCAATGTCAACGCCTAGTAGTTTAACACTTTCTTCACATGGGATCGAAATATCATCTATTTGAAAAGAAATGTTTTGTGTCCAGGTCTTATTACCTATTGCAAGTTCTTTGAATTTGTCAGGATTTGCTTTCATTTTATCTATATCGAACCAGTGTATGAGATTTTTGAAGTCTTCTTCGAGTGCGGATGTCAGTTTTTCTAAGTTTGTAGATGAGTGTGATAGGGTATTATCATCAGCACACTTGTATAGCTGACAGTGTTTTACAGGGAGGAAGATGTCATTAACAAATACGTTAAAAAGAAGCGGGCCTAAGATTGAGCCTTTGGGTGCCCCCTTTTTGATATTACTCCAGCTGCTAAAAGAGTCCTGAATCTTAATTCTTTGTGTCCTGTTGGTAAGATAATTTTCTACTAGGTTTAATGAATGTTCCGAAACTTCATAGGCTAATAATTTGGCAAGAAGAATTTCATGTGGGAGACAATCAAATGCTTTAGATAGATCCATCAGAAAAGCAGGTACGTATTTGTTATCATCTAATGTTTGTTTCCAGTCTTCAATAATTCTTAAAGGTACGGTTTGGCATCAATATCCTTTCCTAAAAGCACAGAGAAAGTTGTCAAAAATATGGTCGAAAAATTTGCTGAGTTGGTCAAAAAGTGTTCGTTCATAGATCTTGGATATGGATGGTAGTATGCTGACTGGGCGATAGTTACCTTTATCTAGTCCGTCTTTTTTCTTGTAAATGGGTTGGACTTGGGCACGCTTTAAATTGTCGGGAAAAATTCCAGAAGTGATGGTTGTGTTGATGAGTTTGGTTATATGAGGGGGTAAGGGAGTGTTGTCCTGCTGTGATGAGTTTTGCGCTGATGTGATCTACACCGGGAGCCTTTTTAATGTTTAAACGTGAAACTATTTTTGTAATATCCTCTTCCTGAATCATGGTGAAATTAAATTGCAAATTTTGGTCTGAGTTTTCTTTGATTTTGTTAATGCTCTCGTGTGTTTCTGGGTTAAAATCAATGTGTTCTCCTATTTCATTAGCGACATTTACAAAAAAGTTGTTAAAAGTTTGGCTTACCTCAGTTTTGTCAGAAATAATTTTGTCATCTTCCAATAAAACTATGTTAGATTGGTGTTTGTTTTTGTTCGAAATGAATGGTTTGATTGTAGGCCAGAAATCAGTGTTCTTAGCTCCACCAGTACATCTTTCCATGAAATAATTGTTTATGGAGGATTTCTTTAGTTTGTTGACATGGTTTCTTTGAATCCTGTATTTTTCCCATGTATCGTTGTTTCGGGTTATAGTATATTTGTTATATAGCATGTGTTTTCTGTGTATAGCTTTCCGTAGGTTTTGATTCATGCAGGGGAAGTTTATCTTGCGATTTGATTGGGTTTTCATTGGTGCATGCTTGTTTATAGTGTTGGTTACTGAATTTTCGAAATTTTTATACATTTCGTTTACGGATTCGGATGATAATTTTGACTGTTCAGTGGTATTAGGCAGAGGTGATGTTTCCAGATCTTTATTGAAATTTTCTATGTTAAAATGTTTGAAGCTTCTGTATGTCATTTTAGTTTGATGTGTAGTCTGCAAGCTACCTTTTATTGATGTTGCTATTATATTGTGCCAGTCGCTGATTCCAGTGGGAAAGTTTGTTGTGTTAAAACATAGATTTTTACTATTGGTTAAAATAATATCCACCAGAGAGGGTTTACAATGCATGACAAAACAAGTAGGGTCCTTTATCAGGTTATCTAGATCATGTGCGTCACAAGTAGTATTTAAAAGCATGTTTTTTTTATTCGTCTAGAATATCAGAATTCAAATCGCCTAGGACCATAGTATGATCGGCAAGACTGTGTCCCTTGTCTAATGCTATGCTAAATTTCTCGGTAAAAGTGGTTTCATTAGCAGACGATGGTTTATATAGACCATGTATGAGCCATTTCCGTGAATTTAAAGTTATTTCAAAAGTCATATTTTCGAAAAGTTTACATTCAATATCAGTTCGTCTTCTAGCTGGTAAGTCTGATCTTATGAAGGCAATCATCCCCCCTTTGTTGGAGGTATTGTCCCTTCTCTCTATATTGAAACCTGGGATGTGAAAGAGTCCGTCACGAAAGGATGCGTCAATTTTAGTCTCCGCCAGGAATAGTAAATCAACCAGTTTGAAGTTTACTGTTACCTTCCATTTTGTAGAGTATTTAAAAAGGCTATCAAGAAGAGTCGGTGGACCCTGAACAGATTCCGAAAAAAACCCCCCAAATCATCTGCATACATAAACAGAAACAAACTGAACTTACCGAAGTCGTAATCTATTGCACCGTTTTCAATAAAGGACCAGAGACATTTAAAGCCAGTAGTATATGCGTCTCTGAAAGGACGTTTGAAAAACATTGATAAAAAGTGAAAACAGTAATGGTGACAATATTTCCACTTGCAACAAACCGACATTGTTTTCAAAACAGTTTGATCATTTCCCATTAATTGAACACATATGTTGACTGATATGATTTATAAAACGACTTAATTATACCAAGCCTAGTCAACTTGCGCCATAAGCTTAACCTGTCGACAAAATCAATTGCTTTGCTTTGATTACGATGACGGATGGTTGGCATAGTGTTATATTCCTTAAACTCTGAGAGAGAGAGCGGCGATTCCTCAGAGCCTGCACAGATTGTGCAACTGAATTACAAGCTTGATGATCATGAGCTGCAGTCCCGTAACGCCTTCAAGAGAGACGGACTACGAAAACCTTCCACTACAGCTAAAAGACTTCGACTGTCGGTTATCGAAGGGCCCCGGGACATGTACTAGACATAACAATATTTATTCAGGTAAAAGGCAAAGATATACAATACATGTATCCAGAATAAGAAAGGACCTGTATAGCGAAATTGAAGACGCTGTTTCGGGATCAGAAGACGAAGATGAAGAATAATTGAGTCTTAAATCCTAACAACGGCTCTTTTCAGAGCCAACCACTTTTCTCTAAAAGTGTCCATTACGCTCGAAATTACGCTTAAACATCCGTCATTTATAAAACTAAGGAGTAGACTAAACCTGAGGAAACCTATTCTTTCAGAGAGCGGGTTGTTTACCATTGAAACTCTCTTCCATATATCATGATAACTTCGTTATACAGACATCACTAGTCCAGTAAAATGTTGGCAGTATCAAATTGGTGTGCCAATATAACGAGTGAAACATATAAAGGAGTTGCTAGAATAGTGTAACGGAACTGGACTGGGCCGCTCGTCTTTCTTTCTTTAGTACGATCCTTGAAACTTAGCTTTTTTATAAAATAAAAAATACAGTGTGAAAGAATTCAAAACAAATGAGAGAAAATAAAAGAATTATTTCTTCTGTCGTGCCAGTAAATCATAGGGAAATTATGTGGAGCAGAGGGAAATTGTCCATGTCTAGTGTCAGGGTCAGAGGAAACTCATGCTAACTAACTTAAGCCTTAAAACAGTAAATATGTTCAAACAAGGGAAACAATCATAATGTAAAAAGTTCATGGCAGTTTGGCTTCCGTAGTATGTGCTCCTAACGGTAGCATTTTTTTTTATCCTATAATTTATTTACACGCTGGCTAACAAGGTAGCAAGATTAACTCCCGATAGTAAACTATATTATTAACACAGTCGAGTATATCAGCTCACTCGACCCGTTACTATATTTGGTTACAGGTGTCGACGTCCTTGCCTCGTTGTATGAAGAGTCAAGATCACCTGTTAGCCGTTTATCGGTGTATATATAGGGACCAAGATAATGGCCTTGGAACAGGTTCTTCGTAAACAATTCCGATATGTGTCAATTTTTCTACATTTTGTGGTGATAATTTTCTGTAGCTGTGTTTTCTTTCCACTTGGATCTGTAACAAATTACTTCCAGTCTCAATGTTTACTGTTCGCGGATCCGGTGTTAACTTTGAACAGTAATTTCACTGCTACCGTGGACATTGCGAGGTCAATATGGGGTTCTGTCAACCTGTGTAATGTTTGTATCTATGTACCAGTAGTGACAGCCATCCACTCTTTCATCTGGTGCTGGTTTTACTTGCAGATGTGGACTATGAACGATGAATTGTAAGTATCGGTATGCCATTCAAATGTCAGTCGTAAGCGTGACCTAGTTACCACATGTCGTGTCAGTGCGAGCGTGTCGCTGAAATGAAAGTAGAAATCGAAGCATGTCTCAAGAAAATGAATTCATGTAATAAAGATGTATGGTACAATTTGAATTGAGAAAGACGGTGTTAATCGGGAGTAAACCAGCGTTGTGGCTGATAAGAATATGATATTATTGGTTTATTATTATTGCTATATAGTAGGCAGTGGCGGGCCCAGGGCAACACCCTTTTTTCTGTGTCAAAAAATAATCTGGACTTAAGTTTTTGAAGATTTTCCTCTATTTCATATTGGATTTCTTTCTAATATCAACCATCCCGTGAACTATGATTTCTATGGCAAGCAGCAGTTTGAATATCTATATATGCCTAAGGATGCAGTTGCCCAAACAAGAAGTCCACTATTTATACTCTAAACAGTAGGGGATTAATCGTTTTTTGTCCATATATTAGTAGGGTCTCCAGTCAGGTCAGTGGTGAAGGCTCACCGGACTGACTCTACCTAATCGTATTGTTCTAATGTCACGGTGCGGTGATCACCCTGTCCATTGAGAGAGGATAAACCATCTGTTGGAATTAGGTATATACATGTAGCTAGGTTAAGTGCTATTTCAAAGGTAGAGTCCATTTCATGATAGATAAACCTGTATTTTCACCTGTGGTTTCATGTACACATGATCACCAGGAGTGATTTTTTATACCTATTAAAAAATGTAAATTTCAAAAATTTCAAAGACAATAAAGCATCCACCTTAGCGTGACTTTATCAGGTGAATAATAACCAATGTTAGCATAAAAGCCTAGCATGTATATCCTTTTTCATTAGCTATATAGGTGTTGCCCTTGTACATACATGCATACNCCCCCCCTGGTACCTGGTAAGTTTGTTGGGAGTGACAGACCAAAAAGGGCAAAGTGAGCTTATTTTACCTATTCTTCTCTAGAACAACAAGGCCTATTACAACCAATTTTGCTAGGAAGTATCCTTAGAGGACGATCCAGCTCTGCAAATCAGAAATGGCTGGTCCCTTCTGGGGACCCTTAAAGGGAAAAAAGTGGTAAAATTTGAGATTTCTAAAAAAAAATTACTTAAACAAACCAGCAGTTGAATGATTTACATATGTATTATCTAGTGTCCTTAGTAAATGTACAACACATTTTGTGAAGGAAATGCCAACTTTTTGTTTTCATGAATGAGTGCACAAGAGATCAGCAATGCATTGTGCATCAACAATTACTGTTTTTTTTCTGAAAAGCTAAAGAACCTGAAGTCCTGTGCCCATATTCATGAAACCATTCTCATGCTCAAGCATGTTGTTTTTGCCCAAACCGACTTTCTTGTCACTTACTCAAATCATGTCAAGCGACCAAGAAGTCAAATGAAAGCATTGAAACAGTTTTTCGGCTGTAAGTCTCTTCATTTTTTTACCAAATCATTGACAAAATAACTTTTTATCTATATTAAGTTATAACCAGAACAAGAAATCAGGCTTGAGAATGAGAATTAAAGGTTTCATGAATATGGGCCCTGATATTTGGCTAGTTACTTACTGGCATAGAATGCATATAGTATACGTAAATAAATGGCTGTTACCCTTCTCCAAGGTCACATGGATTAAATATGCGATATCAAGAATCCCAAAGACAAAATATTTGACCAGTAACAGGATGGCTATGAGAGGTTCAAAAAATGGAGTAATTACCTTCATATATATTCAAGGTCACAGGGGTCATATCTGTTCGAAAACTCAACTGTGTTCTAACTGAATGGTAGACCCATTGATGGTCACCATGAAAAACACTGCAGGTGTATGGGAATCGCTTTCCTCATAGACCAAAATATATCCACTGTAAAATTACTCGTATTCCTTCATTATAATATACACATATTTTCTTTATTGTTTTGCTACTGACAACTAAAAATAGATATAAAATTCTCTTGGTCAAGGTTTAATTGGCCTATTAAAATTTCAGTACAGGTATAGAAGAAATTTATATCTCATAGATATATGGTGTGTAAATCCTGAATTGTAAGACTGAGTCTCAAACAGCTTTTTTCTGGACCTATAGAGTCATGTTAAAAAGATCTTGCTGCTTGGGATTCATATTTGTTAAAACCCTAAAAAAATCTGAAACAAAAAGAAGCCTAGAGTCAATTGCTTATTGGTGTGAAGAGTGCTACAAAATAGCTACAAAAAGACATAACCTGCACCTATATTGAAGTTCACAGGGGCTAAACCTTTAAAAACGCTAAAATATCTTCTGAAGAAGAATCAAAATTATTTTGACCAATTCTAGGTCAGTACAGGGGTGAAATCTGCTAAAACACTCAAATAGCTTTTCCTGCAGAACAAAAAATGCCTATATAGAGTCATGAAATATCCTTACAGTTTGCCAAAATATAATGCCATAAACTTTGCAATAAAGATATGACCTTGACCTATATTCTAGGTAACAGGTAAAATTGCTTAAAAAATTTAAACAGCTTCTTAACAACCAATTGAGAGATCTAAAGTCCTTATATATCCCAAGTGACTCGCTGGAAATGAGCAGTACAGTGTGAAAAGAGTTAAAAAGCCTAATGCCAAGGTAAAGGTCAAGGTAACTGTGACTTAAAATAGAATAGAGGGATACTGTCAAAAAGAGATTATCGATATTGCCCTTTTTGACCCACCAGTGTTCAGTCTAATTGTAAATAGTATTTGGAGGGTGAATAATGTAACACATTTCTAGTGTCCTGAAATACAAGATGGCTACTGGTCAAGGTCACAACTCATCATTTCTGATTGGGCTTATATTTATTTAGCTTTGGTTCAATTGGTTTCATTTTGTTTAGACTTGGTGGTAATCGGTCTACGTGGTAAACCTAGAAAATTTGGATATATATCACCAGGCAGCCCTAGTTTTCTGTCATTTTGGATGACGACATATGTTCCGTTCTGTTAGTAAGATTTTGTTAGTAATTGGTGGTGATTGGTTAACTTATCTGATTAGATATATTTGTACCACCTTATAACCCTGCATATTCTGAAATCTATGATAATCGCTGTGGTTGCTGTTTTGGAATTATGGGGAATACATGCACATATATACTTAAACTCTCAGAAACAGGGCAGGCCGTTGTGGGTTTCTAATATAGATTCGGTCATGTTGGATATCAATATTTTGAATATTTATCTTTTTTTTTTAAACTTAATAATGATATACTTTGAAATGTAACACTGATGTAGGAACAGAAATGAAAACAAAAATTTAATGGTTTATCACTTACATTGAAAAAGTCATCAGGTCTTGTATATTATTTCAGGAGAAACATCTTGGTAGAGATCGTCAACCAATTAAAAATGAAGAGCCAGAATACACAGGATGTTTTAGCAAATGATATTGGTAAAACAACACCAGGTTTCAGATTAGACAGAGTCTGGATAAGGCAGGGTTGACATATTAGCTAAAGAGAAGGAAATATAACCAAATATCAAATATGGTATGGACAGGGATCTGGATTAAAGAGGGGACAGTTTAGAGACGATATACTGTATCTTTTTTGTACTGTCTTCCAGACGGATGCTGTGTTCTTTGCTGATCAGTGCCATTCTGCAGGTGATCCTCTTTGTCACACAACTCGTCAGTAGCATCATCCTGTCCCTGGGATTCTTCACATTCTGTCACCATCTTACCCATCAATTAGGGGATAAGTAAGTGGACCAATCTATTTGAATCAAAATTGGAAATTTCTGCAAGAATTAAAGTAGAATTATTTAGAACATGGAAAATAGAATTTGATACCAGGAAATGTACATTAGCAGTAACATGTATACCAGTCTGATATCAAAGTTTTACTTTTTACACAAACAATGTATGTACTAAACGTGGCGCAACGTTTCAAGACCGATCACAGTGACCTATTTATGTACGTTTAGTTAACTTCACATATAGGGTTGAAGGTATGTGGCCCTTTGGCCTCAGTGACCTATTAATGTAGGTTTACTAAACTTCACATGTAGGGTTGAAGGTGTGTAGCCCTTAGGTCTTAGTGACCTATTTATGTAGGTTTACTAAACTTCACATATAGGGTTGAAGGTGTGTGGCCCTTTGGCCTCAGTGACCTATTAATGTAGGTTTACTAAACTTCATATGTAGGGTTGAAGGTGTGTAGCCCTTAGGTCTTAGTGACCTATTTATGTAGGTTCACTCAACTTCACATATAGGGTTAAATGTGTGTGGCCCTTTGGTCTCAGTGACCTATTTATGTAGGTTCACTCAACTTCACATATAGGGTTAAATGTGTGTAGCCCCTCGGCCTCAGTGACCTATTTATGTAGGTTCACTCAATTTCACATATAAGGTTAAATGTGTGTGACCCTTAGGTCTCAGTGACCTATTAATGTAGGTTTACTAAACTTCGCATATAGGGTTGAAGGTGTGTGGCCCTTAGGTTTCAGTGACCTATTTATGTAGGTTTACTAAACTTCACATATAGGTTTGAAGGTATGTGGCCCTTTGGTCTCAGTGACCTATTTATGTAGGTTTACCAAACTTCACATATAGGGTTGAAGGTATGTGGCCCTTTGGTCTCAGTGACCTATTTATGTAGGATTACCAAACCTCACATATAGGGTTGAAGGTGTGTACTCCTTTGGCCTCAGTGACCTATTAATGTAGGTTTACTAAACTTTACATATAGGGTTAAATATGTGTGGCCCTTTGGTCTTGGTGACCTATTTACATCTAACACTGTTGAAGTACAGTTTACACTGTTTACGATAAGTAAATCATTATAACTTGGCTATTTTTACTACTCAAGCTCTTTTACCACTGTAACTCCTATATTTTGCATCACTGTATTTCAGTTTTGTGACTTTCAACACCATTGTTAGGACCTTCACATTCACTTGATTTCAGGAAAAAGTGCAAACATCACGGCAAGTCTCTTCCAAACGTCTGAATTTATTGTTGTTTGCACTTTTTCCTGGATTTTTACTAACACCAGTGTGAACTCTGTATACCTGCTTGGTATCCACAGTATAATTGACGAAGAAATATAAGATACAGCACTTATCTAGGACATTGTGTCCCCCCTCCCCCTTCTGTGATTCACATAATTTGAATGCTGCAGTAAGTTTTCATATGAAAAGTGATAGACAAATAGAAATAGGGGTTGCTATCGAGCTTTTTACAGTGTTATGTTGAATTGGAAGCTGTTAATGAACCAGTTGACAACCCAGTGTATGGGACAGGACAGGCAAGTAAGGATCAGAGAGATACAAAAATAAAAGTTCTTATGACAAAATTTATTATTTAAATCATATAAATATAAGTTTTTATGACACAATGAAATCAATGACTTCGTTAGCCTTGGAAGAATTCAGGAACATTTTTAAAGAAATTTTGATAAAGATGTGAAGGATTTGTTTTTAAAATCCTACAATGATTAAATCTTGAATATATCAGAGTGTCAGAATGACATTGTCGATGTGTCTGTGTATCCAAGAGTGTGTCAATGTGTCAGTATATCCAGGAGTGTGTCAATGTGTCAGTATATCCAGGAGTGTGTCATATGTCACTGTCAATGTGTTGGTGTATCCAGGAATGTGTCATGTGTCAGTATATCTAGGAGTGTGTCAATGTGTCAGTATATCCAGGAGTGTGTCATATGTCGCTGTCAATGTGTTGATGCATCCAGGAGTGTGTCAATGTGTTAGAATATCCAGGAGGGTGTCAGATGTCACTATCAATGTGTCCATGTATCCAGGACTGTGTTAGATGTCACTGTCAATGTTTCCGTGTATCCGGGAGTGTGGCAGATGTCACTGTCAATCTGTCCGTGTATCAAGGACTGTGTCAATGTGTCAGTGTATCCAAGAGTGTGTCAATGTGTCAATATATCCAGGAGTGTGACATATGTCACTGTCAATGTGTCTTCGTATCCAGGAGTGTGTCAGTATATCCAAGAGTTTGCCAATGTGTCAGTATATCTAGGAGTGGGTCAATGTGTCAGTATATGCAGGAGGGTGTCAGTTGTCACTGTCAATGTGTTGATGCATCCAGGAGTGTGTCAATGCGTCAGTATATCCAGGAGTTTGTCAGATGTCACTCTCAATGTGTCCGTGTATGACATTGTCGATGTGTCAGTGTATCCAAGAGTTTGTCAAGGTGTCAGTATATCCAGGATTGTGTCATATGTCACTGTTAATGTGTCCGTGTATCCAGGAGAGTGTCAGATGTCACTGTTAATGTGTCCGTGTATCCAGGAGTATGAGTGTGTCAATGTGTCTATGTATCCAGGAGTGTGTTAGATGTCACTGTCAATGTGTCCGTGTATGACATTGTCGATGTGGCTGTGTATCCAGGAGTGCGTCAATGTGTCAGTATATGCAGGAGGGTGTCAGTTGTCACTGTCAATGTGTCTTCGTATCCAGGAGTGTGTCATATGTCAGATGTCAATGTGTCCATGTATACAGGAGTGTGTCAATGAGTCAATATATCCAGGAGTGTGGCAATGTGTCAGTATATCAGGAGTGTGTCAATGTGTTAGTATATCCAGGATTGTGTCATATGTCCCTGTCAATGTGTCCGTGGATCCAGGAGTGTGTCAGCATATCCAGGAGTGTGTCATTCAGTATATCCAGGAGTGGGTCAATGTGTCGGTATATCCAGGAGTGTGGCAATGTGTCAGTATATCGAGGAGTGTGTCAGATGTCACTGTCAATGTTTCCGTGTATCCGGGAGTGTGGCAGATGTCACTGCCAATGTGTCCATGTATCCAGGACTGTGTTAGATGTCACTGTCAATGTTTCCGTGTATCCGGGAGTGTGGCAGATGTCACTATCAATGTGTCCATGTATACAGGAGGGTGGCAGATGTCACTGTCATATCCAGGAGTGTGTCAGATGGCACTATCAATGTGTCCATGTATACAGGAGGGTGGCAGATGTCACTGTCATATCCAGGAGTGTGTAATATGTCACTGTCAATGTGTCGGTGTATCCAGGAGTGTGTCAGTGTGTCAGTATATCCAGGAGTGTGTCAATGTGTCAGTATATCCAAGAGTTTGTCAATGTGTCAGTATATCCAGGAGTGTGTCAATGTGTCAGTATATCCAGGAGTGTGGCAGTTTATCCAGGAGTTTATCAATGTGTCAGTATATCCAGTCAGGTGTCAATGTGTCAGTATATCCAGGAGTGTGTCAATGTGTCAGTATCTCCAGGAGTGTGTCAGTATATCCAGGAGTGTGTCAATGTGTCAGTATATCGAGGAGTGTGTCAATGTGTCAGTATATGCAGGAGTATGTCAGTATATCCAGGAGTGTGTCAGTATATCAAGGAGTGTGTCAGATGTCACTGTCAATGTGTCGGTGTATCCAGGAGTGTGTCAATGAGTCAATATATCCAGGAGTGTGACAGTATATCCAGGAGTGTGTCAGTATATCCAGGAGTGTGTCAGTATATCCAGGAGTGTGTCAATGTGTCAGTATATGCAGGAGTGTAAATGTGTCAGTATATCCAGGAGTGTGTACGTATATCCAGGAGTGTGGCATATGTCACTGTCAATGTGTCCATGTATCCAGGAGTGTGTCAGATGTCACTGTCAATGTGTCCGTGTATCCAGGAGTATGTCAGATGTCACTGTCAATGTGTCCATGTATCCAGGAGTGTGTCAGTATATCCAGGAGTGTGTCAGATGTCACTGTCAATGTGTCCGTGTATCCAGGAGTATGTCAGATGTCACTGTCAATGTGTCCATGTATCCAGGA